GTGCTACATGAACCATTAAAAGTGGAATTGTTTATAAATCTGTAGTGGAGACTTTTCAAGAAGAAGCTGCAGAATGTAAAAAGAAGAATCCTAGATAAAAAAAGGAGGCTCACAGCACATCTGTGACATGACCAGGAAAGCTCATCATATTGTATAGAGGAATGTCTAGTAATGAAGTGAGAGTCTTTGCTTGCCTGTCTGGGGACTGGACTCTGAGTTTGAGGGATATCATCTGATAAGGAGCCAGGTTGCTCTGAGCAATCCATTGGAATGGTTTCTGGGATCAGTACAGCAGCTTGGTGACAAAGACATCCAGGTCTGTCACACTTTAGACCAGTGTCTGACTTTCCCAGTGGGAGCTGCTGTGGATGTGCCCACTGTCAGCTGTGGATTTGTGGAATGAGGTGGTATCTGCCTGAAAGCAGAGACTGGAGCTTATATTTTAGGTTCCTTTAGGACCCACAACCAGAAACATGATCTGAAAGGGGCACCAATGAATGACCCAAGGTAGCAGTGGACACCAGGGAACAACCCTTCTTTGATCTGCTCCTCTCAGAGCACAGGATAAGAATGCAGATAACTGGTGGTGCATGTTTGACACTGTCTGGGAAGTGGTGCTGAGCCAGGAGCCTCGGTGACTGCTGCTGTGCTTTAACCAGCTCTCTGCTGCCACAGGCCTAGAGGCTGACAGCCTGTGACACAGGTAGACTTGCCAGCTAGCAGGAGAAGAGCCAGATGAGCAGCAGTGTCACTACCTGCTTCTCTTCTGTGTCCCACAGCTGCCTCCTATGACAAGCGAATTGCACTCTGGGATATTGGGATTCCAGACTGTGACTACAATTTCAAAGCAAGGTAAAGGTTCAAAGGCCAGATGTGGCCAGTCCAGGAGCCTATACCTGTCATGTCGCAGCACCACTTAACTGCTTGTTCTCTTTTTGTGTGTGTTGTGTTGTGGTTTGTTCTGTTTTGTTTTGTAGCCAGCTGCTGGTGCTGGAATCACTCTCCATTCCCTTACGGATTGCCCTGGTCCCCACCTGCCCAGAGCAGTACCTGCTGGCTGGCTGTGAAAGCAGCTGCCTTGCCTGGAGTATAAAACTGGATAAGGAACAAAAAAACAGGTGAGAATCAATAGCTGGGGGGGGCGGGGCCTGCATGTGCTTTTTTCCTTGACAAGAAGAGGTAGTGCTAGCAAAGGCTTTCCTGCTGCCCAAAGAGGAAGAAAAGCAGCATGTCCTACCAGGAGCCTATACCTGTCATGTCGCAGCACCACTTAACTGCTTGTTCTCTTTTTGTGTGTGTTGTGTTGTGGTTTGTTCTGTTTTGTTTTGTAGCCAGCTGCTGGTGCTGGAATCACTCTCCATTCCCTTACGGATTGCCCTGGTCCCCACCTGCCCAGAGCAGTACCTGCTGGCTGGCTGTGAAAGCAGCTGCCTTGCCTGGAGTATAAAACTGGATAAGGAACAAAAAAACAGGTGAGAATCAATAGCTGGGGGGGGCGGGGCCTGCATGTGCTTTTTTCCTTGACAAGAAGAGGTAGTGCTAGCAAAGGCTTTTCTGCTGACCAAAGAGGAAGAAAAGCAGCATGTCCTACCAAACTTGAAACATCCTCCCCTTCCCAAGAAAAAAATCCTAGTGGAACACTGAGGGTGTGTGTTCAGAGCTGGCAGCCCTGGGCTTGGGCTGGTGCTCCAGCCTGCAAGCCTTGCAGCCTGTTCTGAAGGAAGGCTGGCCTGAGTAATACAATATCCTAAAAGTTAAGGGTGTATCATCTTGGAGTAGTGTGAGGGAGGATAAATTCTTGGATCAAGTTCCAGTCTCCCAGCAAGGCCTACCCTGCTGCTGCTGCTACGTGAGGTTACCCAGGAAACTTGGTGCTCTCTGGGAGCACAGAAAACAATTAGAAAAAAGCAGCAAAAGAAGTAATGCCCTGCTGACACACAGGAATAATCCTCATGGCTGCAGTCAGATGAAGTCAGACAGTGGTCTCCTAAACAAATGGGCTTTATCAATAAACCCAGGTGGCTGGAAGCAGGAGTTCAAGTGGGAATTGATTGGAGTTTGGCAGAAGACTCCCTCACATGGGAATTCCCTCCTGGGTTCTGTACCTGGGTGCCCTTCCAGAGCTGCCCCTTCAGGACTGAGCTCATGTTTCCCTCCCCCCCCCAACTCTAGGCCTTTTGAAGCCATATTCCAGTTTCCTGATGAGGATGGAGGAATGACAACATCTCACAGGGTTGATGGTTTGGCTTTTCTGAATGACGATGTCGTCGGTGAGTACGAACACAAGAGCCAAAGCCAGAACCAGGCACTCAGCACGGGGCAGGCTGACACCAGCAGGATGAGCAGAGGGGTGGCTGGGGCATCACTGCCTCTTCTTTAGTTCTTGGGGGGCTTGCAGAGAATGGAGTTGTCCCTCATCTTACCCTAAAATGTGGGCTAAAAGTGCAAACACTTGTCTGAGCCAGCCTGGAAATGAGCAGGACCCCTCCCTGAGAGCAGTGTCACCCAAGGGCTGGTAGCAGCAGGATTTATTGGGGTTTTTTTGCAGGGGATTCAGGGGTTCCCAGATGGGGGTGGGGTTTTTCAAGCACAGGCTGGGTCTTTCTGAGTAGCTTATGCTTGTTCTACAGTGCAGAACATAAACATGGGCCTGAAACCCCCTCTGCACCCTCCCAATTATCCTGCAATAAGGTAAAGGAAGTGGAAAGAGTTTGCTGCTGGTATCAGGTCCCACATCTTAACAGCCACGTTCTGGGTGGACCAACCTTCACCATCTTGGGGCATTTCACTTCTCAGCCACTGACACCTCTCCCCTCTTACTTCCCTAGTTTCCAAGAGCTCCAAACTGGGATGCATATATTTATGGAGCTGGAGTCGGTCGTTTGACGCCAAGGGGAAGGGCTGCCAGCGAACTGTGTCTGCAGTCATTCTTGCTGAGCTGGAGTGGTCCACAACAGACATGTCCTACCTGACTCTCAGCACCTGCCCAGGTAGGGGAGCAGCACCCTTCCTTGGGTGAGCAACCAGGCTGCACCCATCCCCACAGCACAGCTGGACACACAGGTCAGGACAGACTTGGAGCAGTTGTGTCCTTTCAGCTGTCAGAGGTACTGGGGTGACACCACCTTCCTGCTACCCAGAGCTGGTGGGGTGGCCCTGTGGCTTGGCTACAGCCACTGGCATTCATCCTGCTCCTGCAGGAGGGGTTGGAATCCCACAGACAGGGCAGCTGGCTTTTCAGACTAACAAGGAATAAACACACCTGCTCCAATTGCCACTTTCCAAAACCAAAAAGTCTGAAGAAGTCAGAAGAAGTGGCAGTGTGTTTGCCACTGTGTTTCTGTACTGGCTCAAGATAGCTGCTGTATCTTAAAACCAACTTCTGCTTCACCAGAGAAGACTGGACTCCCAGGTCCATGCTTGTTTTCCAGCTTCTTCTTTTGGTCTTAACAGCAAAGGGCTACGTGTTCTGTGGGGATGAGAAAGGCAGCGTGTGGATGTACAACCTCTCAGGCCACACCCCAGCCTGGAGCTCTGCAAAGGGGAAACGCTCAGACAAGAAGATCCCTCCTGCACAGGTGGGTCTGATGTTCCTCCCTGAGGCCGAGCTGGGCCTCGCACCCTCCCCTGCAGCTGTTCCCACTCTGCTGAGCACATTTACACCCCAACACCCTGTGGGTTTTCTCGACCTGGCACTCACAAGCAATTAAAAGCAATTATCTCTCCAGAGCGTGACCAAGGTCACCTTCCACATCTCACACCAAGACAATTAGGACAGGAAGGAGGAGCTGTAAAGCAGGTCTGTTTGCTCCCACCTCCTGCAGCTTGGCAACTTGAAGGGCCCTTGGTCAAAGATCTGTGGTGAAACTGGAGAGCCTGGCAACACAGCATCTCCCTGAGGGACCAAGGGGAGAGAACCAGGGCAGCTGTGCCCAGGAAAGGCCTCCCTGCTTCCATGTGTTCTTTGCTTGGCATTTCCCTGGCCCCTCTGGGAAGTTCCTATTCCCTTGCACAATGAAAGCACACACACACACCCACTCTTGCACACACCCACTCTTACACCCCCCACACCCCAGGGCTCCCACTCCATCCTGTGGTCACCAGCTCTCCTTCCACCCAGGTGCTGCACCACATTCCCGGGAAAAGGAAGAGCCTTTTCCTTCAGCTTTCCCTGGTGGGTAGGAAAGCAGATTCCACAGAAACCCAACCAGCACAGCAGGCAGTCACAAAATAACCTCCCCCCTTCCCCCCACTCCCTTCCTACCCAGCCTCTCTTCTCCTCCTAGATTCTCCAGTGGCCGGAGCTGCGGGCAAAGGGGGAGCAGCTGAGTGAGATCCTGGTCAATAACGTGGTCTCAGACCCCACCTTTACTTACCTTGTTGTTCTCACTAGTGTGAACATTACAGCAATTTGGAAGAAGTCATAGTTCCCTGTAACACTGTTTCACTCCCGTGCTTTGAAATAGTGCAGTATTAGTGACTGTTACCCATGTGACCATCAGCGTTTTCTAGACCAGCTGTTCATGTGCAAGAATTGAAAGAGTAAGAGTTTATAAAACTCATCATGTCATTATCAACATCTGGGTTCTTTTCCTGTCAGATCTCACAATTTGTGCATTTGTTTTATAGAAATGACACTTAATTAAACAAAACACCAGTTCAGTTGGCAGTGCCTGGACTTTTTGAAGAGGGAAAGCAGAGAGTTCATCTCCCAGTGTCACCCAAGCAGCTCATTCTGGGGGTGAACCCCCCCTACAACTCACCCAGTACAAATGGTTGCCTTGAGCTCCAATTAGAAAAGTAGAAATAATTTTAATGAGCTAATCATCCAATCAAACAAGACATACATGCTCTTGTCTGGTACAGGAAACCCAAACTCAAAAGATGGTGGCTGCTGCTAAAAGTTAAACAGGAGTGGGGGGAAAAGATTTGTCCTTAATGGAGGTTTCAAGACAGCTTCACCAAACAGAGCAGCCCAGGCCACTCCAAGCCTGGTGATTTCACTCAATTCCTTCTTGTTTGTCTTTAATAGCAACCTGTAAAACAGACAAGAACCACTCCTGAGCTGGGGGAGCTGAAGCATTCACCCAACCCTTCTGTGAAACACAGGAACCTTCACAACCTCCCCAGTCTCCTCCATAAACCTCCACAATCCCAGAAAAAAAACCCCTAAACTTGAATTAAAATCAGAATTTATTTACAAGAGCAGTGGGGGCTGAAACCTTTTACGAGCACCTCTGAGCACACTACATGGACAGGACCCTGTTCTAGTGCCCTATTCTGGTCCCCCCTGGTTTGGTCTGAATCTATTTTAGGGTAGATTGAAGTCTGAAAAATCAGAGGGTAATTAAATCTGATTGCACAGTTGAGCAGAAGAAATGAGAATTGGATAATAATAATGTTGCAGGGTTTTGGCAAGATAAATCATTTTAAAAAGCAATTAGAAGAACAGAAAATGGTTTTGTACAGTCATAAGATTGGAGAATAAATAATAAATATAAATAATATAATAAATTAAAAATAAGTAAGACCAATGCTGGATATTTAAGGAATTACTGAGCACCCACTGAACTCTTGCTGGGTATAAAATAACCCTTGAGAGCAGCCAGGGTCCCACAGGAGCTGAGTAACACAACCCTGCACAGCTTTAATGAATTAATCAAGGTCAATTAGCAGCACTAAAGGTCCCACTACCCCTCCCTAAAGTTGAAAAAAAGGAGAAAGACTGACCCTAAATCTCTCCTCCAGCAGGGAGAGCTCGCTGATCAGGTCGGTGATGGCATTGGTGAAGGCTTCTTGGGGGCTGTAATCGGGGGTGGTTTGGACTCGGATGATGATTTTGTGCTCCAGGGGGTGAGGGACTTTGTACCCTGCGAATAACACCTGGGGGTCCTTCAGGAGCTGCCTGGGAGGGAAGAGCAGCAGTGAAAAAAGCCAAGAGCAGCAGTGAAAAAAAACCCAAGAGCACTTAGGGGCTGGTAGAGCAAATAAGAAGTTAAGAAGCCGTGGGTTTGATGGGTTTTCTTCCCCACACACCCAAACAAGGCCCCGTCGCTTCGCCCTGACAACATTTCATCACCTTCCTGAGGAGAATCGTTCTCAAAAGCCCCAAATCCTAAGAATTTACACTCCCCCCC